CTATGAGTGCAACTCCATTTCTTCTAAGGGTTTCTTGCCCACAGTAGTAGATATAATGGCCCCTCCTACAATGCAACATATTAAATATAAGGTAAAGGCCTTTGAAGTGAGTTTGTGGGGGTCAACTTCCACACACTTTTCCTGGCAACACTGCAGAAGGAGTTTACCACTGTTCTTCCAGAATTTTTTTTAACTTCCCATGGCCTGGACCGATCCCCAAAGCCATTAGTACTTAGACAGGAGACCACCTAACACGCAGAGCCATGGAGGTAAAAACCTGGAGGAAGAGTCCAGATGTGGAGAAGCATGTTCGAAAAGTGATGGGCCCTCCACACAGAAATTCCAGCCACAACTGCTGGGCATGAAAATACCATCATGCTCTTACAAGTGCTGCTTAAGGTGCAGGCCAAAATTTCTGTTTAAAAACGGTTCCCTTGCATATCTTATTATTTATGCGTGGAAAGACCAATGACTTTAAATCACTGGGTGAATAAAGAACATTTATAGTACACAGCTGATTGAAATATTCATAGGAATACTACTGGCACTGGCATCACATGGCCGCGTTAGAATTGGGTTCGTTACTTTTCTCCCTTCTGTGTGACCTTCCATCCATGGAATGGCAAAAACGCATCTTTCCCTTTGAGTGCTATGCAAAGGCAGCAGAAGGAAAACATTGCAGTTTTGTGAAACCGTAGTTGGCTTCACATCCCGTACTAAGCCACAACTCACAACCCACTTCATGGCATAGCAAAGTATGTGAATCAAGCCTGCAGATCCCAAACAGAGAAGCTTCTACTGGGTGGCAAACTCTGGGTCTCAGCAAAGCTGATTCCAGGAGTATTTCCTAGCGGCTGTAACCCAGCAAGCATCAGAGCATCTTTTCAGTTGACCCTGACTTGGGGTAAGTCAACAATCCTACTTGAAATCATTAACTCAAGGATGGAGGGGGCTTCTATTTTTCCTGTTGGGTGCCAAGGCCACCCCACTGGCTGATGGAGGAGCAGCAGTCGCTACTGCCAGAAAATCGGACCTGAGCACTTGCACCCAGTCTATGATCATTCAACATCTGACTGGAAGAGCCCTTTGAAGACATCTAGTCCAACTTCCTGCTCCATGTGGGCATCCTTAAAGCCATCTCTGTTTGAAAGGTTGCTGTCCCATCTCTGTTTGAAAACCTCCATGGGTGGGGAGTAAAAGACAGGGAGGACACCACTGTTCTAGGCCAAAGGATCCAGAACTCCACAGTTCTTATCATCAGAAGATACCTCCTAAAGCATTTGAGGACTGTAGTTGCCATTCCTACTCTATCAGAAAATCCTAGGCATTCAGCATGAGGCCATCTGCCCCAAAGAAGGCACTCTTCCCCTATGCTATGGGCCCTCTTCAAATCACCCCAGACCTGTGTGGTGTCATTTTTACCTGCTTCTTATGAATGCCTCTCTTTCAAGGGAGAAGCAGGCAGAAGCAGGCAAAATGGAGAAATGCTTCTATTCAGGTTAGCCTGCCTTGGTCCTGGAGTCCAAAAGCTCCATCCAGCGGCTTTGAAACTTCTATTTTTGTGTGTGTGTGTGTGTGTCTCCAGATGGATTAATTAGAGGTCCTCCGAAACCGAGAGTTTTGCACCACAGCAGGCACTTGTCAAGGGCCTTGGGGAGGCAATCAATGACAGCCTTGCACACCAAG